CTGAGACACTAAGATGTCTGGTATCTCACAAAGTTTACAAGGCAGGAAACGGTTCTGACAATAAGTAGGATACAGATGTTTACAAATAGACCCTGTGACTATGGTGTGAGTGAGAGATCAGAATTTAGTTTTAGTGCTTTGAGATAGGGTCTCCATATGTAGCCCAGGTTAGACTTGAACCCACAACCTTCCTGCCTCAGCTTCCTGAGAGCTAGGATTACAAGTGTACACCACCACACTCAGCTAAAATAGCAGAATTTAAAGAAACATATTAAGAGGAGACAGAACAACATGACCTTCTTGGGCATACCCAGATGGATGAATTTTATTATCTATAAATTAAACTGCAATAAGATTAAAAATCCTAGGCGTGGTAGGACCTGTAATCCAAGCACTTGGGAAGTGGAAGAAGAGGGGTCAGAAATTCAAGGGTTATCTTTGGCTACACAGCAAATTTCAGGTCAGCCTGAGCTACACGATACCCTATCTTAGGAAAAAAATAAATATACCAAGAAATATCTTAGTTCTAGAAGTCTCACTTTCTTTACTGGATTTTAAAGAACTTTGAGGCCACAGCAGGTGTGTCCACATATCTGTGTGTGAACTCACACATGCAGCCTTAAGAACATGTAAATGAACTCTACCACAGTACCACAGATCTGTGTCTTCTTTTCTGCTACTGACTGGACCTCATGTGTTGAGGCATCATCTCCCAGGGACCAGGCAACCAAATTATAGGCTTCATGACTTAATAATAATCCACTGTCCCCTCCCCCACCCCACATCACCCCCGGGAGTTGAAGAGTAAGCCTAAAGCCACAGAAATGGTCAAAAAAGGTAAAGTATTTGTCAGTGGAAGTATGCCAAACATCTCTCAGCAAAAATAACTTGCAGACAGATAGCCTCTGAGAGCTAAAAGTGCAGCTTCCTATTTGCAATATGTGCTTTCAAAACAGAAAAGGAAAATTATACTGTACTTTGATTTTCTTGGTCTTCAGGAGGCTCTAGAACCTTCACAAATTCCACATTCACATGGATCTCTACTCCCAATATCAGGGCCACCTTGAACAGGATGAGCTGCAGTTGCCGAATACCTGTCAGGAAGGGAAGGAGAGATGACTGTCAAGAGCAATGCTTGAGCACCTGCTATATGCACAGTATACTGCACAGTTGTGGCTCAGTGATCTTGGAGCCTAGCAGTACAACAGCAAAGACCAATCACTGAGCACTGAGATTGTGCCAAGCACTCTGGGTTTTTTATTTAGCCCACAGTGGTCCTCTGGGACCCTTGTTAGTCTCATTTAATGAGACACTAAAATTTAATAAGGTTAAGTGATGGCTTGAGGTCAGACAGTAACAAAAACCAGAAGGTGAACCCGGTGTCTGATTTGATGACTTTGATAGCTGTGCCAGGGTGCTGAAACTAGGGAGGTTCTCTCTCTCCTGCCAGGCTCTGGATCTGATGAGATAAGATGGAAAGAGGTGTAGACAGAGTCAAGAGCTGTAAGAAAAGTCAGAGATCAAATGGCTGATTCATTGGGGCTCATGCCTAATGCTCTTCACCCTCTAAAGGGGAGGCACAGGGTGGGGAATTCTCCCTCCAAAGCTGGTCTCAATGCCTTCTACCTTTTACCACCTGTGCTGGATAGCTTTAGTGTCAACTTGACACACCTGGGTTGAGGGAGCCTCAATCAGGAAATTGCCTCTATTGGACTGGCCTGTGGCCATGTCTGAAGGGCATCTTCTTGATGAGTGATGTGGGAGGGCCCAGCCCACTGTGGGTGGTGCCACCCCTGGGCAGGTGGGCCTGTGTTGCATAAGAAAGCAGGCTGAGCAGGGGCCAGGGGAGCAAGCCAGTAAGCAGCGTTCCTCCATGGCCTGTGCTCCAGCTCCTGCTTCCAGGTTCCTGCCCTGAGTTCCTACCTTGGGCTCCCTGATGAACTACGACCTGGGAGATGTAAGCTAAATAAACCCTTTCCTCCCCAAGTTGGTATTGGTCAGAGTATTTTGAAACAGCAATGAAGAACAAACTAGGACACCACCCTCTCGAGTGCCTTCAGTAAGTGGAACCCTGTTTGTCCCTCACCATTCAGCATGAATGGACATCCTCCAAATATTTTTCTGCATTGTGAGATGTTTTACACTCTCAGTGAGTCTCTTCCTATTGAGTGGCCTTAGATCATTTAATATTTACTGAGCATCTACAATGTGCCAGGTATCATAATAGGCACAAGAGATGGGCACATGCCCTTGAATGGAGGAAACGGATGAACAGAGGGACAGGGCCTGGAGGTGGGGGCCAGGTAGTAGCAGAACATGGCCTGAGCTGGGGCCCTGACAGCCAAGAGAGGAGGAATCAAGGGTATCAGATCCCTTGAGGAAACAAAGGACTACAAAGGCCACAGTGAAGCCAGGGCACTCAGGGGCCAGAGACTTCTGGGTGAAAATCTCTTTAGTGTGATGATGGTGGCGGGGGCAGACCCCACCATGAGAAGGGATGAGTAGGCAGACAGTCCACACTTCCCCTTTCTGGAACGAATACTATGAGGGATGGGATACCCATAGAGGGCTGGCGGTACAGGCAGTGTGAAGAACAGGAAGACTAGTGACAGGAGAAGGGGGAAGGAGGAGAGGAATCCAGGAGGGCCTGGAGCTGGAAGGGCATGACCCGCTCTTCCTCTGTCCTGGGGATGCTAAGAAGGGAAGACCTAAGGAGTGCACAGAGTAGGATGGCCCAGCCTGTGGTCTCCCTCCCCAGGCACAGGAGCACACATCTGCTAACAGCCTAGAGGCTGGAAGAATGTTGGGAAGGGGCAGGTACTAACACAGGACACATTGAACTCCTGAGTACTACCGAATCTGAGGGCGCAGCTGGGGGTAGAGATGGTGGATGGTCTGACTAGAAGCCAGATAGCTGGTTCACAAAGCCCAGTCCATGACCTGCTATGAGACAGTCCTTCCAGGGGAAGCCTGACCACTCCCCACAGGGTCAAGATTCCTGGCTGATCTGGTTCCAGAACATAGTAGGTACTCAGTAAGTCACCCCGCTTCTAACCACAAGGCCAGGCGCATTTTCCCAGCACTGCCTGAAAACAGAGCTCAACACCATCCCTGCACATTGTAACCCACAGTGCTTCTTCTCTGGGTGAGACACAGCATCCCGCCAGCTCATGCTGTGGCTTTCTGGGCAAATATAAATTTCTTTCCATTGGAATTTTCTCATCCCAAAGCAGGAATAAAGTCTGGGGCCACTGCTGGTCGATTCTTCTGTGCCTGAATAAATTACACCCTTAGCAGCTGCTAATTCTCTCCAGTCACTCCCGTCCACACCCGACTCCACTCTCCCATCCATGCTCATCCCCTATGGACGTGGTTCCGCCCATTCCCCCCCACCAAATCCATCTCCATGGGAAACTACTGGCTATGAGATGCAGCTCCAGGGCTCTCATGTTTGGGGACCACCCTGCTCACTGTCTACCACCGCATATGAAGCATTTCCTTACACTTACTACATGCCAGGCACGGTACTAAGCATGTTATGAACTTGACCCCCATGAAATCTTAACAATTCAGGGAGATGGGCATTAATCATATTTTATAGGAGGCAAAATTGAAGCCTGAGAAGGTTAAGGAGCTTGACTCAAGTAAGCAAGAAATGGGAGACACACTGTTCAATTCCATTCAAACACTTAACTACCCAACAGTTAACCTGCCTATGGACCCGATTACCATATATACAATAGCTAGACACCGCCTCCTTGGAAAGCAGTGAGAAGGTAGGATGCTGTCTCCCCCAAAGCCTATGTACATACATCCTGCCTCGAGATTCCATTTGTGAATAATGGTAGAACAGTAGCTATGCTCCACACGTCCTTCAAGGACTTCCCTTCCTAGTCTCCCTGAAGTTACCTCATGATGCCTTCTCTCTCTTCAAAGCTCAAAGAAACGCTGGGAAGAGATCTGTCAGAGAGTATACATCTAACTATGTCAGTCTTCTAATCCTATACCTGCCCTGGTACCCCAGTACCAACAGCACACTGTCCAAAGCCCTTTGCATGAAGAGGTCTCAACCACCTGGCCCAGTTAGAGGTTTTGTGATGTCTCTCTTCTGATTTCATCCAGCTAGTGTGAGTCACTCTATTAAAATATATTTCATTGCTGACAAAATCTCGGTGTGCTCCCTGGGAGTACAGACTCTGCTATTTGCCTCTGGGTTTTGCATTTCATTCACTCATTCAACAGATGTTTATTGTACAGCTGATCTGTGTCAAGCATTCTTAGGCCCTGGAGACAGGTAATTTGGCAAGCAGGATGTGTCACAGTCCCTGACCTGGTTTTTAAGTCTAGTGGGACATCATCACACAGGGCATAGAACAAGTTAAAAGCAAACTGAAATGTCCCTCATAGGCGCATGTATCTGACCTTTGATCCTGTTCTGGTGGTGCTGTTTTGGGAAACTGTGGAACCTTTAGGAGGTAGGGCCCAGCTGGAGGAAGTGGGCCAGGTGTTGGGCCTTGAGGTTTATAGCCCATCTAGTCTGCCAGCCCTCTCTTTGTTTCCTAATCTGCCAAGATGTGCGCCAGCAGCTGCCACATGTTGCCATGGCCACTGAGCTGTCTACCTCCATGGAGCTGCCTGTCGCCATGCCTTTCCTAACATGAGCCAAAATAAACCTTTCCTCAAGCTGATTCCTATCAGGTATTTGGTCACAGCAATGAGAAAAGTAAGATGTGCCCCGTCCACAGTCAGACCCTGACATTCCTGGAGTTCTCCCACCATAAGCCCCACTCACTGATGTGGTCGATGGAGCCAGCACAGAACTTCCCATAGAACTTCTTGGCTCCCAGGCCCCGCAGGTCATGGATGGTGAAGGGCCAGAGATGCAGCACATTGTTTCGGGAGAAGGTGTCCCTCTTCTCCACCACGACCACCTTGGCTCCCAGGTAGGCAAGTTCAATGGCAGTGCGCAAGCCACATGGTCCTCCCCCGATGATGAGACACTGTAGAGGGAGAGGATAGAAGTGTTTAACACCCTGGCATATCCATTCATCAGTTTCACTGAGGTGCAACCCCTCCCCTAGCCAGGACATACTGCACAGCCTCTAGGACCTGTTACTTATCCTTCCAGTGCATTCTTCACAGACCAGACACCGTGTAAGCCCTGAAGGACACACAGCAGAGGGACCCTGGGAGAAGCCACCATGAGGTGTGTGGGAGATTCAGAGTGAGACCAAAGCAGGTTTGAATCCCAACCCTGGCACACGACCTCTTAGTTTCTTTATCTGTGAAGCGGATCTTTGAAGCATTGTTTCTTCTCATATGGTTATTATAAATAGGATCAGCCTAGGAAAGTATATGGGGATGGGGCCGTAGCTCAAATATAGAGCACTGGCCTAGTATGTATGAGACCCTGGGCTACATCCTCAGCACCACTAAATCAATAGATAGTAAAAATAATAAACTTCTTGTATGTCATAAAAAAGCACACAATACATGTTTCTCATGTGTTTGGATTGGTCAGTAGTTTCTTGGAGACAGAATCAAAAGCAAAAGAAAATAAATATTGATAAATTGGACTTCATTAAAATTAAAAACTTGGGTTGAAGAGATGGATCAGCAATTTGGAGCATTCCTGTTCTTCCAGAAGACCCAAGTTTGATTCCCAGCACCAATGTTGGGTAGTTCACAACCACCTGTAACTCCAGCTTTGGGGATCCGACACCCTCTTCTAAGCATCCACAGGCACCTGCACTCATGTGCACAAACACACACTCAGACACAGACATATATGTAAATAAAAATAAATCTTAAAAGAAACTTTGGTACTTCAAAGGATACTTTCAAGAAAGCAAAAAGAAGCCAGGTATGGTGGTGGTGCATGCCTGTAAGACCAGGTGAGCCTGTCTTAGCGCCTACCACCCCCCCGCCCCGAAAAGAAAGGAAGAACAGGGAAACAGTTCCACATATGGGAGAAAATATTTGAAAATTTTATTATCTAATAAGTTCTGATAGGACATTTGCATCTAATACACATAAAGAATTTTGACAGCTCAAGCCAGGTGTGGTGGCGCAAGCCTTTAATCCCAGCACTCAGGAGACCGGCAAATTTCTGTGAGTTCAGGGTCAGCCTGGTCTACATAGTGAGTTCCAGGCCAACTGGGGCTACAGGGAGACTCTGTCTTGAAAAAAAAAAGAATTTTGACAGCTTATAATGGAAAAAATAGATCAAGTAAACACCAAGAAAAAATTTAAATGGACATTTTTAATAAAGATATATAAGTGGTAATAAAGTACAAGAAAATATGTCAATACCACCAGAAAAATGCAAAACAAAGGCACAGTAAGTAGTCACTCCCCACTCCCCAGGAAGGCTCTAGTTTAAAGAGAGAGAGAATAAGAATTGGAGATGGCGATGTTCAAACCATCATACATAGCTAGTGAAAAAGCTTGGAAACAGTCTGGTATAATAATTCCTCGAACAGCTAAACACAGAGGCACCATGTCAGCCAGGAGCTCTACTAGAAAACGTGAGTGAGCGCAAAAACCTCTCCTTGAATGGTGAGCGTGGTGCAGCTCACAACAGCCCTAATGTGTGATGTGGGAAACAACTCACATCTATGAATTCACGAACAAAGTGTGATATCTGTTGATAAATATATCCATGCAATAGATATATTATCCATCTACAAAAAGGGGTCAAGTTGCAATATTTGGATGAATCTTGAAAACATTGCATGGAGTTAAAGAGACTGAACACAAATGGAAGCACATTGCATATTTCTATTTACATAAGATGCCCAGAGTAGGTAATCCGAAGAGATACAAGGGCTCGTGGTAACAAGGTTATAGGGAAGAAAGGATTAGGAAGTGACTGCTACCAGATAGCTGGGCTTTTTTTAGAATGTTCTGGAATTAGGCAATGGTGATAGTTGCATAACTTTGTGACTACTATAGGCACTGAATTATATGCTTTATTTGGGTGAATCTTATAGTATATGAATAAAAATTGTATGAAAGCCAGGCAAGGTAGTATGAGTACAGTTCCAGGACTCAGGAGGCTAAGGCAGAAGGATTGCAAATTCTAGATAAAGTCCAAAAATCAAACAGGTCATGAGCTGAGCTTTGAAATAAATACTAACTCGATGTGGTTCGTTCTATGTGGCATACAGAAGGGGAAAAGCTACTATGCCTGGTAGAATGGAATGCCCAGTAGACTCACAGGTAATAACTCTGAGTTATTACCACCATCACTACAGACTCCATTTGTGGAAGACTCAGTAAGTATCAGACGTAGCTTCAAGTATTTTTACGTTTTAAATTTAAAACTACAGAACTACTATTTTGATCATTTCACAAACAGGGAACCCAGGGCACAGAGCAGCAAGGTTAACCAACTAATCTGTGGTTCCAGATGGTTCCAGATTGAAAGGGACAGAACCAGGATATGAACCTAGATGGTCGTGCTCCACTTTTGGCTTGGCAGAAATCAAAAGAAAATCTAAGATTTCAGCTGATGGAGCCCATTTGCAGAGAAAGAAGTGAAAAGGAGAGAAGGGCCCTTTGGAGGGAGAGAAAAGAAAGGACAGATGATTTGCAGTCAAATGATGAAGGTCTTAAATGCATCGGTTTTGCTGGCATTGGGGTCATGTGGGAAGAAGAGACAGACTGTATACAAGGTCCCATGCAGGGTCACTGTGTGTTGAAGACTGTGTCCTTCCTCAGGGAGGACGCAGATTGTTAGGACAGAAGGGGGACACATGGTGACCCAGATAACCAGACTGAGTAAGAGCCCTTCCATCCAATTTTCTGCAAAACCCCGATGTTGCATGAAAACTGAGGAATATGGCAGTGGTCCAGCTGGGGCAGGAGTTCATGGGGGAGGGCATGTGTGTGTGTGTGTGTGTGTGTGTGTGTGTGTGTGTGTGACTGAAGCTGTTCAGCAAGGCAAAAAGTAAAACCTCCATCCACTCCCCACTCACTGATGTTGCGGAGACATCTGGAAACTTCTCTCTGCTCAGGATCAAATGTTATCTTAAAAACACATACTCCCCTTCCTGAGTAAATACTCCATCCTCCTGGCTGTCACTCCACTGGGCCGCCAGAGTCCCCGAGGGAAAATTCGATCAAGCAAATCAGAAGCTCCCACACTGCAATCAGTGTGGTATATACTGGCTGGAACCTTCCAGAGAGTTTGTAGACAACCAATTAGAGGAAATGAAGTCACTGCTGAGATTCGACTCACCCCAGAGACACTGGGGAGTAGGTGGGGTGGAGGAGGGCCTGGCTTCCTCTCTGGACAGAGGCGCCTAGAGAGAACCAGGTCCTCTAGCCCAACTCTGCTCCTTATCTCATTCCTCAAACAGCTCCTCACTCCACATAGCCAGACAATGATGGTCATTTCAGAGCCCACTCCAAACCCCAGACTTGTGAGGTTTGCTTTGGGGTGAAGTCCGGACCCATTACATGTCTTTGCAGTTACTACATTGTTTCCTGTTGGCAAGCTCTATCAGTCCAGGGCAGGAGCTGGGCCAGCTAGAGGATGTGGGGTGAAGAAGGGCAGGGAGGGAAGGGAAGCCTCCTGCAGCCTTCCATCCATCAGGCCTGACCCATCACTGGATCAGCCAGGCAGGGGCTGCTGCGCATAGTATAAACACTAGCCAGGTCCCATGTCTGATCTCCTGAACGGACATCACCTGAACTCTCACCAGTGAACACTCAGCTTTCCTGCCATCTTGGGCTCCACTACATTATCTTGGGCCAGAGATCTCAGAGATGCCAATCATACCATAACCTAAACTCAAAGCAAATACCAACAGACTTAGTTACATTGAGGGAGAGAATTCAGGCTGGTACAAGGGCCAGTTGGCAGAAGGCCAGGACAGCTCCCCCTGGAATATGCTAGTTATGATCAGCATGGGGACTTGGTGTCCTGACAAGAGGCTGAAATACCCAGTAGTCATGTGTCTGGGCAGAGGAGCAACATAAAGCAGGAGTGCCCATGGTCAGTGGATGCTCTAGACGTTAGATATGCACAAACAAACTGACCACAGAAGCAAAGGACTGTGCTAACTCAGACCAAAGGAGCCTCCTCTTTCCCCAAACCCACTCAGCCACTGCTGCTGAGGACTCACTTCCAGTGAAGAAGTTCCATTAAGTGCTTGCTGCACAAGCATGAGGACTTGAGTTTGATCTCGGAACCCATATGAAAAAAAGCTGGGATTGGTCATGCATACCTGTAAAATAGCTCTGGGGAGGTAGAGACAGGTAGATGCCTGGGGCTTACTGGCCAGTTATCCTAAAATGGTGAGTTTCATGCCAGTGAGAGACTGTCTCAAAATATATTTCCTAAGGCATAACACTTGAGACTTGAGATTGCCTCTGGTGTCCTCCCCCCACCCATGTACAAGCATCCCCCCACGAACATACACTAATAAAAATAAATTCAGCTCCAAGACCTTTATCCAGCCCCTAAATGAGACTGTGCTTTTTCTCCAGTGTTCCTACTGGCTCAGTCCTTACTGATGACCCAGAACTAAGCTCTGTATGTTATCATCAGCTGGGCCTCAAGAGCTGCCACATCCTCTGCATTATCTCTACAGTTGGAGTCCAAACACTGCCTGGTACACGGAGGCCCAGTGCATAGCTGATGGATGAATGAACTTCCCACCCACTCCCCACCTACTGGGTCCTGGCTCTCGGACCATGAGAGGGATATTGGGATCATGTCAGCTAGGGTTAATGTCTGCAGATTCCCACCCAGACAGAGGGAATGGGGGTCTGCCAAGGCCACCAACATCACAGAAATCAGCATATCTGTGTGCTCCGGGTAAAGTGTGTTATTGTTCATGGGGGAACGGGCAGATCCAACACCAGCAGGAAACTTACTATAAAGATAAGCTTGGCAGAGATCGGGCCTGCACATTCTCAGAGAAGAGAGACAAACACCATGTGGAAAAAACAGCTTTATTTATCAAGGGGCAGGAGCAGGGACAACAATTAG